AGCGACCACCGCACCGCCGCAGCCCGCTTCCCCGCCTATCTTCACAGCATCCTCAGCCCCGTCGCCGATCTCCGTCGCCCCATCATCAGCCCCACCGCCGACCGCAACAACGCCGCCCCGTTCACCCCCGGGCCTGCCACCGCCGCCGCCGCAGCCCACCAGCGCCGCCAACCCCGCTCCCCCGCACCCGCCCCTTTCGAAACGAGCCGTGAAGGAGTTGGGACGAAAGGACACGAGGGTACACGGCCGCACGCGCGGCGATGGAGTGCGGTTCATGGAGGAACAACAACAACCGCCGTCCGGTGGCGGCACCGCTCTCCACCACCGTCTTGGTCTGTTAGCGATGATGGACAAGGAATTCCTCATCTCGTCGCTCGCCACTCGGGAGGCCGTGGATCAAAGACGCCGCGACCTTCCGCCCCCGCCGCAGCCGGATCCGAGTCTTGGAGGCCGTGGAAGCGGGGGGGCTGTGGGAGCTGGGGGGCCCGTGGATTCTGGGGGGAGATGGAGACCGCAGATGTTCGCAACGATGTTCGCCACCCGCGAGGATGTGGACGCCGCTCTTCGCGCCGAGAGCCCGCCCGACAAGATGCCAGACCTTCCTCACTGCGTCGCCAGCGACCTCCGCGTGCCAAAAACGTTCAAGGAGGCCATGCGGTCTCAGCATTCAGAGTTGTGGGATGATGCAGTCGATCGAGAGTTTTTCGGTTTATTGGATGCAGGAACTTTTAGTCCGGTTTAGCAACCAGTAGAGAACGCCATCAATGCTAAGTGGGTTTTTAACTGTAAGGCGGACGAGTACGGATGGCCGACGAAATTCAAGGCAAGACTTGTAGCGCGGGGGGACATGCAGAGGGCTTCGATTGATTTTGGAGAATTGTTTGCACCCACCGTATCAGTGTCCAGTGTGCGCTTGTTGGCAGCATTAGCATGCGAGCAGAATCTTGACTTGTGCCATTTCGATATTCAGCAGGCTTTTGTGCAGTCTGAGCTTGATGAGGATGTTTTTATGCGCTTACCGGAGGGGTGTGGTAGGCTATCTGGCCTGATCGTGAAGCTGTGCAAGAGTCTGTATGGCTTGAAGCAGGCATCACGACATTGGCATGCGCACCTGACGAGGTGTTTGCTACTTTTAGGTTTTTTGCAGTGTCTGGCGGATGCATGTGTTTTTCGATTGATGGAGGAGGGACATGTGGCCATGATCATCGTGGTCCACGTCGATGAAATTTGTGCTGTAGGGCAGAAGGAGTGGTGTGACAAGTTTGGCAGGGATCTCAACGAGATGGTCCCCGTGAAGAACCTTGGAGAGTTGAGGTGGTACTCCGCGTGCTTTTACGAGAGAGACGTAGAGAGAGGGCTGATGGCAATTGCCGACGTCTTGAAGGAAGTGTTGTTCTTGAGGCAGGTGTGGCGTTTTATTTTGCCAGATGCGAGTATGCCGTGCATCCCGGAGTTCGAGGATTATCAGGGAGCGATTTCCGATTGCGCACAACCCGATCACGAACTCCAACTCGAAGCATCGATGTACGGCATCACTTTATCAGGGAGCTGGTAGAGAGGAAAGAGATTTCAATTACTCATGTGCCGACGCAAGTTCAGCATGCAGATTTCTTGACCCAGGCTATTAGGAAGGAGTCTTTTGCGTTGCACCGTGACTTTGTGATGAACTTGCAGTGAAGGAAGTGTTTTGGGGTCGATTCGTATTCTGTAGCGGAGGGATGAAGAGAGAGACGAGATTGGACAAGAGAAAGAGAGAGTCTGATGAAGGTGGTAAGGGTGTTGGAGGTGTGTTAAGATTTTTCTTGTTTGTTTTGGAGGAGTTTTGGTTGTGTTGGGATTTTTCTTGTTTGTTTTGGAGGAGTTTTGGTTGTGTTGGAATTTTCCTTGTGATTGACTTGGGAGGGTTCTTGCATGTTTTGGGGAGGATATTGGATTTGGATGCTTTGAGAATTCTTGTTTGTTTTGGGAGAGATGGTAAGAGAGGAACTTGGTTTTTGCCGAAGCATGACGATGCATACGAGCAGGGCTATTAGATATATTGGGGGTACTCGTGGCAAAGTATGACGGGTAAGATCTTCAGTACGTACGTACGGAAATTGCAGTGATGAGATGCGGAGGAGTCAGAGAGATCCGTTTCGTAGTTTGAGCGTGATGAGCGTGACGCGTGCTTGATGCCGTGACAGATTTACGAGCACGAGCACGCCCCCGAAGAATACAATACGTTTTCCTTTACGTCCGTCCCCTACCACGGCCCGTCATGGCCCAGCTGCTCTACACTCCCAACACACAGAACTGAGCCACCCGAATTATCGATCAGGGGCTTTGTCCCCCAAGTGGTGAGAGTAGCCGCTGCTCACAACCAAGATTATAGTAGTGCCATGGGAGATGGTGGTGCTGCTGTTGGCTTTGGATACGGAGCCACAACCCCACGACGGGGTACCAAAGTGTGCGGTACACTTCCCCGTTCAGCGGGAAATCGAAAGATTTCAACGATTGGCTAGATGATTTCCGCATGGCAGACAATGGCGCAAACCTGTTGGAACAATTTGACGAGAGCGGGAGCTAGGAGATCCCCGTCAACAGCCGAAAGAGCAAGTTTTTGCTGTCACAGCAGTACCGGAACGAGCAAGTAGAGCTCGCATTCCACGCGTGGAACTTCCCGTCTCATACGTTAAAAGAAAAAGATCGGAAAATCATGAAGAGGGCAGAGACGCCCCAGGGAGCGCTTCGTGAGCTCAAGACCTGAATCATCTGTACAGCCGTCAGAGGACCTCAAGTCCCTGACGTCGACTAAGATCTCTAGAGGTGAAAACCCCCAAAACGTCCTCAATGAGATGCTCCAAACGCAAAGTCCTTAACCGAGAAAGGACTAACTGTCAACGAAACGTTCGTCCTTCACCTCTTCCTGGATGCCCTTTCGGACGAGTATGCCATGACAAAGCACAACCTGCGACACGCGAAGGAGTTGACGCGGACCGGTGTGCTAAAGGAAGTAATGATCGAATACAAGGCGATCAAGGACAAGCTGGAGCTGGGGAAAGGAAAAGGGGCGAAGGGCGCAGAGCAAGCGTACTTCGCCGACGGTGAGGGCCGCAGGGAACGGTACTCAAGTAGGAGTCAGGGGCAAGGTCGAGGTCGTGGCGGCGGCCGTGGCCGCAGCAGCAGTCGCGGCCGCGGCGGAGGCGGTCGAGGCGGCGGCGGCGGCGGTAGCGGCAACCGCTCAGGCGGACCCGGAGGAGTCGAGGAGAGCAAGGGAAGCAGCAGTGGCGGCGCCGATGGCGGCGGTGGCGGGGACTATAAGTTCCTGGGCCCGTGCTTTCAGGTGTGGACATCGTGGACATCAAGCCACCGGCTGCGCTACCAACGAGAAGGACTTCGTGCCGTGGTGTGCGCGCTGCGAGGGGTGGGGCCACACCAAAGAAAAGTGCGCGACGGAGGAGGCCGTCCTAGCGCAAGTGGTGGAGCATGAGAGCGACGTGGACTCCGTGGAAGACCAGGCGTTTTGTGCCGTGGCAGTCCCCCCAGGCGAGTGTGGTACCGTTGGTGAAGTAGGTCT